AACGTTTGTAGAGAAATAACAATAAAAAAATGTTAAATTTTCCAGTTTTAATAAAAGTATGACATAAGTCCTGGTGTTAAAGCTAGTACGAGTGTGCTGCATTTTGACTTTCATGTTGAAATTCAACTTTTCTAAATACAAACTTGTCCTCAGATAAGTATGTTAGTTATCGAACTTATTTGCTTTTCAATTATATTCGTTTATTATTTCGTCACTTGCCTTGTTCTTTAAGATGATTTTCGGCAATTAAAAAAATATTTGCAATTTTGCATCGTTTTTCAGGCCTAGTGGTATTGCGCACATAAATGATAATGTCATTTTTTAGGCTTTTATATGCACTAGCAAGTGGGAAACAGTTCTGTGATTCCCTTTAGGCGATGTTCCCTTTACAGCGGTGGTCTGGAACCTAAGCAGCCGTAAGTGAGGTGTGTGTGTGTGTGTGTGTTTGTGTGTTTTGTGTGTGTGATGTGTGTTGTGTGTGTGTTACGTGTGCGTTGTGTGATGTGTTGTGTGTGATGTGATGTGTTGTGTGTGTGTGTTACGTGTGTGTTGTGTGATGTGTTGTGTGTGATGTGTTGTGTGTGATGTGTTGTGTGTGATGTGTTGTGTGTGATGTGTCGTGTGTGTTGTATAATATATATATATATATATATATATATATATATATATATATATATATATGTTATAATGAATACGTTAAGGAGGGTTAGTTTTCGCCATTGCATGAACCACACTTAATACTTATGCATATTACAATTCCTGTGGTTCTTCAACCTTAAATAGCCAAGCTACTAATCATAAGATTAAAAAAAAAGAACTTACGTGAGAGACTAAACAAGCTCACATTCGTGATCAGCGCATTAAAGTTAGCTTAATGCTAACCCATTTGGCTTCTGAACTGAACTAAAACTTCAGTTTTGTTGGTTAGCCAATTTAGTAATAAGTATGGCCAATGGAACCAACAGGTGTTGAAAATGGCAGTATGAAGCTGCAAGTATGTATGATAGTATTACTGTATGTCTGGATAAGTTCCATGTTTAATTTTATTACTTATCGAATATGTTGTTTGTTGAGATTACAACTTGTAACGAGTCTTTAAAAAAAAAAAAGCAAGCCTGGCACTAAATGAACCCATACGGGTTTAAAGCTTTTGTGAATTCGTATTTGCAATAATAATAGTATGGCAGTTATAATAATAATATTAGAATAATAGCGGCGCTGTATGACCCTGGTGATTTAGTGCTTTGATTATAATAACATTGCAATAATAAGTTTAAAAGCAGTCTTAATGGCCTCGTGTAATCTCTAGGTTTTGAACCCCGTCAGCCAAGAATGCAGCAGAAACAAAAAATATAATTTATTTGCGTGTCGCTCAAGTCACAACATGTCTTGGTCTAAATCTAAGTCTTCATGTGCATGACGTGTTCAGCAGTGTTGCCAGGTTTTTTCATATATCTGATTCTCTAAACTTTAGAGGATCTGAACACATTGAAATTCAGTGATCAGCATCTTTCAGCACTGAATTATTATAATTGAATTATTATTATGATCACAGGGAAGCGCTAAACCCGTAGGATTATACAGCGCATGTGGGGGGATGGAAAGTATTCAGGCTCAATTCAAGGAACTGGAGCACAGATCCAATTCCCTAAATCAAGAGCCCCTCACCAGCGTCAAGGAACCTCCCTTGAGGGGATTATGATTGAAGCTAGTTATATTTGTTAAGTGCTAAACCCGTATGGGTCGTTCAAAACTCCATAAATGTATGCCAGATTTCCGACATTACCCTAACTCCGATAGATTTCGAAAAAGCCATTGACAACATGCCTATGCACTCAGCCCCGGGCCCAGACTCGTGGAACTCTGTTTTCATTAAGAACTGCAAGAAACCCCTCTCGCGTGCCCTAAGTACACTATGAAGGAAGAGCTTGGACATGGGTGAAATTCCACAGTCACTTAAAACAGCGAATATAGCCCCACTCCATAAAGGTGGCAGCAAAGCATTAGCTAAGAACTATAGACCAATAGCTCTGACGTCCCACATCATAAAAATCTTCGAAAGAGTGCTAAGAAGCAGGATTGCAAATCACCTGGATTCCCAAAATCTGCACAATCCAGGGCAACATGGGTTCAGGGCAGGTCGCTCCTGCATCTCACAACTACTGGATCACTATGACATGGCCTTGGATGCACTGAAAGAAAATCAGAATGCAGATGTAATATATACAGACTTTGCAAAAGCATTTGACAAATGCGATCATGGCGTAATAGCCCATAAAATACGTGCTAAAGGAATAACTGGGAAAGTGGGGAGATGGATCTTCAACTTCATAACAAATCGAACACAGAGTAGTGGTCAACAGAGTTAAATCGGAGGCTGCCATAGTGAAGAGCTCTGTTCCACAAGGTACAGTACTCGCCCCCATCTTATTCCTTATCCTCATATCAGACATAGACAGAGATATACACCACAGCACCGTATCATCCTTTGCGGATGATACTAGGATCTGCATGAGGCTGTCATCTGCTGAGGACGCGGTTAACCTCCAAGAAGATATAAACAAAGTTTTCCAGTGGGCAACGGTAAACAATATGATGTTCAATGAGGACAAATTCCAACTACTCCGTTATGGAAAACTGGAGGAGATAATAACTAGAACAGATTATACAACTGACTCCGGCCATACTTTCAAGGATCACAACAGTGCCACGATCGCACGTGCAAAGAAAATGATAGGATGGATAATGAGAACTTTCACAACGAGAGATGCCAAGCCAATGATGATCCTTTTCAAATCACTTGTTCTCTCTAGGCTGAAATACTGCTGTACATTAACATCTCCATTCAAAGCAGGTGAAATCGCAGATCTAGAGAGTGTACAGAGATCCTTTACTGCACGTATAAGTTCTGTCAAGCACCTTAACTACTGGGAACGCTTGGAAGCACTTGACTTGTACTCGTTGGAACGCAGGGGGGAGAGATATATCATAATCTACACTTGGAAAATCTTGGAAGGAATGGTCCCAAATCTGCACACAGAAATCACTCCCTACGAAAGTAAAAGACTGGGCAGGCGATGCAAAATGCCCCCAATAAAAAGTAGGGGCGCCATTGGTACACTAAGGGAAAACACCATAAGTGTCCGGGGCCCAAAACTGTTCAACAACCTCCCATCAAGCATTAGGGGAATTGCCAATAAACCCCTGGCTGCCTTCAAGAGAGAGCTGGACAGATACCTAAAGTCAGTGCCGGATCAGCCGGGCTGTGGCTCGTACGTTGGACTGCGTGCGGCCAGCAGTAACAGCCTAGTTGATCAGGCCCTGATCCATCGGGAGGCCTGGTCATGGACCGGGCCGCGGGGGCATTGATCCCCGGATTAACCTCCAGGTAACCTCCAGGGAGGGGATGGACTCGATCCTCCGTTTGGTAAGCGCGAGAGACGCCCAACACCTACCTAGTGTTATTATTACTATTATTACGATTCTAATTCTAAAATTTTTATTATTATTGTTATGGGAAACGCTGAGGTCTTGAGGGTCATACAACGCCTGAGAAATTTGGAATAAAGGTGTGGTGATAGCATTTAAAGGGAATTTTCTATTTTTTTCAACTTGGAAATAGTGGCGTAGACCTGGGAAATGGGAGGTAATTATGTTTGATCTGAAGATGGTGAGGATAGCTCCGTCTCCTCCACTGAAGAGCCTTCGAATGGCATCAAAACAGCCCCCTCCCCCACCTCGAAGGAAAGAGGAAATTATTATAATTATTTAGTTATATCAAATATTAGTAGCAAACAAACTCGTTTGGGTCATGCAGAAAGAAAATTTTAACCAAATTAACATAGAATGTTAGAATAAAGTTAGCATGTTAAAGTTACCTAGGATTTTAAAGTTACACAGAATGTGAGGTGAAGATGCGCACAATGTGAGAAGTTAGGATGTTAGATAAGTTAGGGTGTTAGATAAGTTAGGATGTTAGATAAGTTAGGATGTTAGATAAGTTAGGGTGTTAGATAAGTTAGGGTGTTAGATAAGTTAGGGTGTTAGATAAGTTAGGGTGTTAGATAAGTTAGGGTGTTAGACAAGTTAGGATGTTAGATAAGTTAGGGTGTTAGATAAGTTAGGGTGTTAGATAAGTTAGGGTGTTAGATAAGTTAGGATGTTAGATAAGTTAGGGTGTTAGATAAGTTAGGGTGTTAGATAAGTTAGGATGTTAGATAAGTTAGGGTTTAGATAAGTTAGGGTGTTAGATAAGTTAGGGTGTTAGATAAGTTAGCGTGTTAGATAAGTTAGGGTGTTAGATAAGTTAGGATGTTAGATAAGTTAGGGTGTTAGATAAGTTAGGGTGTTAGATAAGTTAGGGTGTTAGATAAGTTAGGGTGTTAGATAAGTTAGGATGTTAGATAAGTTAGGGTGTTAGATAAGTTAGGGTGTTAGATAAGTTAGGATGTTAGATAAGTTAGGGTATTAGATAAGTTAGGGTGTTAGATAAGTTAGGGTGTTAGATAAGTTAGCGTGTTAGATAAGTTAGGGTGTTAGATAAGTTAGGATGTTAGATAAGTTAGGGTGTTAGATAAGTTAGGGTGTTAGATAATTTTAGGGTGTTAGATAAGTTAGGGTGTTAGATAAGTTAGGATGTTAGATAAGTTAGGGTGTTAGATAAGTTAGGGTGTTAGATAAGTTAGGATGTTAGATAAGTTAGGGTATTAGATAAGTTAGGGTGTTAGATAAGTTAGGGTGTTAGATAAGTTAGCGTGTTAGATAAGGCTGTAGCAGTGAGAGGAACGTCGGCAACATTGCTGAAACTTTAGCAAGCCTGAGCGACCTGGTCAACACACACGCTGTTCTCGTATCCACACTTTATATCCTAGCCAACCCTCTCCCTGACCACATCTCCATTTTAATTGAACAATGACCACTTAAATAGATTAACTAATTGCACGTCATTGCGGAAGATGACCCAGTTAGTTGAGTGGGAATTGTAAGAGTTAGTGGTAAGTTGCAACTGGTTGTAAGAGGACTTGCATCACTGCCGTCTTATGCCCAGTGTCACTTGGGCAGCGAGAGGGGGAGGAAGGTGCGCTCTCTCGTCCATTTTACTAACTCGCTTGTGTCGAATGAAGTTGATAAGCTATTTTGCTGATGTTGTAGTGTAGAACGGTGAAAGTTTGTGGTACATAGACAGTGTGGTGTTATGTGACTAAATCGTTACCCAAGTGTGTGGTGTTTTGTGTTTAAAGTTATTTTTTTTTGTTTGACGTATATTCTATGATTACATACCAGTGATGGTGTTAATATATTTGTAATTTTTATGGCCCTCTGTTTTCCGTAGTCAGGTTAACGTTCGTTGTAAGAGGCTAGCGGGTGTTATGACCTGCTTAAGTTCTCTAAAGATATATATTTTTTCTAACACTGGAACACCTGTTTAGAAAACTATGACACGTGATAGTATTTTCTTTTTCTGAAAGCTGATATCGAATAACTAAGTTATGTTTACCTTTCGAGCTTGTTGAATGGACTTTTTTTAAAGTTTCAGCAGACGACTAAAAAAAAAATGAGCAAAAAAAATTGTGCTAAACTTTGTCTGAGTTCGTTGACATTCGGCCTTATTTTTTCCCCGACATTCAATCAACTGGTCTTAGATTGTATCAGATACTGACGCCATTTACAAATTTGTCAGTTAATGGAAGTTAATGATATGGCATAATTTAGATTGTAGCCGTCACATAATTCATAAATCTATCCTAGAACTGATTTAACATTTAAAACGCCAAACGCAAGCTAAAACATTACCATCCAACATTGTTGATAGCAGGTGTGTCGTGGAAAAAAAAATTAGTGGTGGTGGTATATTTCGGGGAAAGCGTTAAACCCGTAGGGGTCATACAGCGCCTGGGGAATGAGAGACATTCAGGATTGATCCAAGGAAGGGGAGGATAAGTTTATTTCCTGGAATCGAGAATTTTCCCTATTAGCAACAAGGAACCTCCTTTAAGGTTTTCATATTAGATATACCATTAGCTACCCATGGAGAGATTACCCTGATGATAGTGAAAGGCTCGTGATCCAATTAAATGGAGATGTGCTCCCCGTCCTCAGATCAAGCGTGATTACCTTCCAGACCCCAGGCTCATTATGATCCCTGCTGGTTGAGTACCTCTCCATGAATGTAATGATAATGACATAATGGAACAAGAATGCAAATCAATTCATCGTTGTTTATTTTTGGTGGTATATTTGTGTATGATTAGACAATGAATGGCTCCTCTCACCATCCAAAATAATTTATTAGTACTACTCGCTGCCTTTGTCTAAATTTATAGACTACTGTACTAAATTTGATTTATTTTTAAAGGCTCATTGCACAGGTCACCGCTATTATAACCCTCAAGGAAGGCTCCTTGATGCTGGTGAGGGGCTCTTGATCTAGGGAATTGGATCTGTGCTCCAGTTCCATGAGTTAAACCTGAATACCTTCCATCCCCCCACAGGTGCTGTAATAATAATAATATTTACAGTAATCCCTGCACACTTTTATACACTCATTTAAAATCTATTAATACAGTAAAATAACTTTACATTTCTCTCTCTCTCTACTACATAGTCGGATATGGTATACACACAGGTTTTTATCTATCAGTATACGAACATATATATATATATATATATATAATATATATTATATATATATATATATATATATATATATATATATATATATATATATATATATATTCATATTTTAACAATCATTCTTGATAGAGCGTAGACGAATTGCGACCCTAATGACCCATGTGCAGTTGATAATCTTAAACAACCGAATATAAATAGAACATAATCTCCCAGCTTAGTATTGGAAATAAGAGAACAAACACCAGACCCTTGTCGATTTGATTCAGTTTGGCAACTAAGTTCTAATTAACATCAAACGCTAAGGCAATCATTGACTATATATAGCTGAAGCCTTTGTCAAATTGTATTCGAGAAATGTTGGTAAATGTCAAATTTATCATCAGTTCACTAGTCGAGGGTATCCCAGCAAGGGGCAGCCTACTTTGTAGTGATGATGCCCTTGGAGGTCAATATTGACATCACCATTGCTCCATATAATTCCATCAAAAAAAAAAAAAAAACGAGAGTAAGTTTTTTCTTGCAATTGGATAGCGTAAGTGTTTGTTTTTTATGGATTCAGTATATAACCTCTTCGTTTATATTAATTTCAGTATAATGTTTCTGGATTTAAATAGTTATTATAATCATAACTAAGCGCTAAACCCAAAGGGTCATGCAGAAGAGATTTTGTAGTTTTGTGCATAGAAAGTTACCAACTTGGCTTTAGTTAGCCCTATACATTGTCCTTAACAGAAAACATCTTGAGGAGGGAAGGTAGTCTTACAACTTAAACCTTTTGAGGTTCTCCTGACCTCACTAACATTATCCGGCAGGCGAGGCTGCAGGATGTGAAGTTATTTTGGGAGGATGTTGATGGCTTGTATGAGTCTTGGAGCTCAACAATGAGATCACAGACGTGTGAAGACGAGTCTTAGGGTCGGAGTTCCATGATATATTAGTTTGGAACTTCCTAGATAATGAATTGACTGTGTATGTAAAACTGACTTTTTATTTATAAGTGTATTGGCCCATGTTACAGAAACTTTCAACCAGAAAATGTTTAACTATGTAGACTTCTAAACGTATGATAGCCTGTGTTATATAAACGAAAGACCATTCAACTGTACGAACGTGACGAGACAGCTTAGTGGCTTACTTTTACCAGGAAAGCCAGTGTGAAGGAGTTGCTTGAAGTACAACCTCAACTTAGGTTGCAAGTCACGCTTCAACCTGCCCTTGCCGACAACACAAAGGTAAGACTTGTTTGTTTTTATTACAAGTCGTTTCCTTTAAAGGGGTTCGATGATGTTTATGAAGGGTTCCTAATCCAAGGAATTGGAGTTACCCTCCCCTTATAAGGATTATACTTAATTTCCCCCAGTCCCAAGGCTCTATACATGACCCTTAAAACAAGTTTAGAACAAACCCAATGAATGAAATATTTCTAGTCGGAATCATGGAATAACGCAGTTTTTATTCGTTATGAAATTTTAATGTATCAGGGAATATCTTCGCCATTTAATGGTGGGTTCTGGTCAGTACTGGTTTAGCGTTTCCAGTGATCATGTTAAGAATTATCCCCTCCACCGTTCCTCTGTGGGATGGACCATCCTCCTAGATTGTATATCCTACATGGCTCCCTACTGGAACGGAACTATGTATTTCCCATAGATACTGTACCCATAGCGAACGCTTAAACCTCTTCATCGGCTTACCGAAGTCTTCCTGGTCAGGCTAACAAATTTCACCGCGTAATGTATGAAATCCATCCTCTGGATAACATTATGACAAGAAAATATTGATAGTTTTTCTTAAACAGTATTGTATCCGCATCTTGCAAATGGATTTTGATAGTTTTTCTTAACACAGTATTGTATCCGCATCTTGCAAATGGATTAAGTTTTGCGGAATAAAAAACGTAAAGGTGACCAGGTCAACAAAGAATGATTTTTTATGGTTAAATTGCATTAATAAGTGTTATTGCGGTGAAGAACTGGAATGAGTTACGTGCGACATGTTTCACACCACGGGCAATACACGTCTAGATATGCACGTTTCCTGGTTGTCGTCCGCAGTTTACACGTGTGTCGAGTGGTATTTTTTTAAATTTACCGATCTATGACGTCCGTGTTCATAAAAAGGCTTCTGCAGCCTACCCAATCTTAACCTAACTTAAAATGACAGAAAATAGTTAACTGAGAACGCTTATAAATTGCCGTTGCGATCTGCGTATGAAAATTAACATAGTAAAATTAGGATAGGCTGCTGTGTGAAGATGTACGTATGCACGTTGTAGGTGGCTACGTCGATAACTTCATCTTCTGTTGTCTTCATGCAGTTGGCAACACTAGAATGTATGAAAGTCTGCAGTAAGTTACACCAATTAATGGACTTCAATTACCAAAAGACAGTATACCGAATCGATTTGCACTTGGTACAGACAATTAAGCTAATTAGACTTTAGCATAGTGAAATTTAATGGGTGTGTACATTCATCTGTTTGTAAACGCAGAGTTGTTGCCATGGGACGGGTCTCAACTTCTGATCCCCTTTCTGTCTTCGTAAGCGCCTATGACACATTACTTGTGGCGACTTTGATCTTGTATATACTTATGAAACTGCAATCAATTTGCCGCTACCACTTTTTCAATTCGTTCCACTTTATTACCCCGAAACAAAAATTCATAGCATCCATGCATTTCCTCTGTTTTCAGCTTAAACTTTTGCTTTTTTGACCTTAGTCGTCCTAGTTTTAATAAGAGCATAATATAAGAATGAACGAACACTGCGGTAGCTCTATTTACTCATGCTAAGCAGGTCTAACTCATACCCAACAACACCCTCTCACATACTTCCTCTCAGTTTTTACACAGGAGGATACCAGCGATATTCCAGAAATGATAAATTATGTAGAACAGGACGATAATAAACTGTGCACGATTAGGGTCACAAGTGACATGGTCCTTAGGCAAATAGATAAATTAAAACCTAACAAATCCCCAGGCCCTGATGAACTGTATGCAAGGGTTCTAAAGGAATGTAAAGAGGAGCTTAGCAAACCTTTGGCTAATCTTTTCAACATATCACTACAAACTGGCATGGTGCCAGATAAGTGGAAAATGGCAAATGTGATACCTATTTTCAAAGCAGGTGACAGGTCCTTAGCTTCGAACTATAGACCAATAAGCCTAACCTCCATAGTGGGAAAATTTATGGAATCAATAATTGCCGAGGAAGTTCGTAGCCACCTTGAAAAGCATAAATTAATCAACGAATCTCAGCATGGTTTTACAAAGGGGCGTTCCTGCCTTACGAATTTATTAACTTTTTTCACTAAGGTATTTGAGGAGGTAGATCATGGTAATGAATATGATATTGTGTATATGGACTTCAGTAAGGCTTTTGACAGGGTCCCACATCAGAGACTATTGAAGAAAGTTAAGGCACATGGAATAGGAGGAGAATTTTTTTCCTGGATGGAGGCATGGTTGACAAATAGGCAGCAGAGAGTTTGCATAAATGGGGAGAAATCAGAGTGGGGAAGCGTCACGAGCGGTGTTCCACAGGGGTCAGTGTTGGGCCCCATGCTGTTCACAATCTACATAAACGACATAGATGAGGGCATAAAGAGCGACATCAGCAAGTTTGCCGATGACACCAAAATAGGCCGTCGAATTCATTCTGACGAGGACATTAGAGCACTCCAGGAAGATTTGAATAGACTGATGCAGTGGTCGGAGAAGTGGCAGATGCAGTTTAATATAGACAAATGCAAAGTTCTAAATGTTGGACAGGACAATAACCATGCCACATATAAACTAAATAATGTAGATCTTAATATTACGGATTGCGAAAAAGATTTAGGAGTTCTGGTTAGCAGTAATCTGAAACCAAGACAACAGTGCATAAGTGTTCGCAATAAAGCTAATAGAATCCTTGGCTTCATATCAAGAAGCATAAATAATAGGAGTCCTCAGGTTGTTCTTCAACTCTATACATCCTTGGTTAGGCCTCATTTAGATTATGCTGCACAGTTTTGGTCACCGTATTACAGAATGGATATAAATGCTCTGGAAAATGTACAAAGGAGGATGACAAAGTTGATCCCATGTATCAGAAACCTTCCCTATGAGGATAGACTAAGGGCCCTGAATCTGCACTCTCTAGAAAGACGTAGAATTAGGGGGATATGATTGAGGTGTATAAATGGAAGACAGGAATAAATAAAGGGGATGTAAGTAGTGTGCTGAAAATATCTAGCCTAGACAGGACTCGCAGCAATGGTTTTAAGTTGGAAAAATTCAGATTCAGGAAGGATATAGGAAAGTACTGGCTTGGTAATAGAGTTGTGGATGAGTGGAACAAACTCCCAAGTACAGTTATAGAAGCCAGAACGTTGTGTAGCTTTAAAAATAGGTTGGATAAATACATGAGTGGATGTGGGTGGGTGTGAGTTGGGCCTGATAGCTTGTGCTACCAGGTCGGTTGCCGTGTTCCTCAATGTGACCTGGCCTGACTAGGTTGGGTGCGTTGGCTTAAGCTGGTAGGAAACTTGGACCTGCCTCGCATGGGCCAGTAGGCCTTCTGCAGTGTTCCTTCGTTCTTATGTTCTTATATACCCGTCCAGCCTATACTTAAAACTACCCAAAGTTTTCGCCCCATGACTACCTGGGAGTTTATTTCCTCTCAGCCGTATCATTTCCTCCTAAAAAAAATTTTTTTCTGCTCATTCTTACTCCTAAAGTCGTCTGATTCAACTTCTTTAGTCTCATAGCTCATTACCATCAACTCTAGCACTAGGCTTGATGCTAACCTTGAACCTCAAGTTTCTGAACATGTTTGGCCAAGTGTGGAGCTTCATACCGGTGCTGCGTACTGTAGTGTGCATGTGTTCGCGTGCGCCTTTACCGGGTACATCTGGTCATGTATTGCCTGAAATTTACCTAGAGTCGCTTCAGGTCACCACCCCCCGCGACCTAATCCCAAATCAGGACTCATAGTTGCTGGCCTGACTGATCGATCAAGCAAGCTGTTAGTCCCCGCATCCAACGTATGCACCACAATCAAGCTGATCAGGAAGTTTTGAGAAATCTGTCGGGTTCCCTCATGAAAACAGCTAGGGGTTTCTTGGTGATCCGCCCTTATGCATGAAGGGAGGGCATTGAAGAGTTGTGATCCCTTTGCACTTTTTGAGTTCTCTATGTATTTATCGCTCCCCTGCTTGTCATTGGAGATATCCTGCACCGTCTGCCAAGCTATTTGTGTTCATTAGTAATTTTCGGTGTGCAATTTGGGGACCAATCTCTCCAGTATCTTCCAGGTGTAGATTATGAAGTACCTTTCTCGCCTACATTCTCAGGGGTACAGTTCTAAGGATTTTAAACGCTGCCAGTAATTTAGGCCCTTGACTGAGTTTATACTAGCAGCGAGGGTTCTCTGTACATTTTTCAGCTCAACATTTCTGCATGCCTTGAAGGGGGCCGTCAGTACACGGTAATATTCCACCCCATGAAGAATGAATAACAAATAGAATCATCATCGGCTTGGCATATCTTGTTTTGAAAGTATGAGTTATTCAGTCTATCATTTTTCTTGCAGCTGCGATAAGGCTGGTGTGCTCCTTGAGCATGAGATCTGGCATTATCATTCCCAAGTTTCTCGCATTTGAATTAGTTAAATTGAGTGGTTTGAGTGTCTTGCACTCGGATCTTATTACTTTTCTCCATTCTTCCGTAACTTAGGTAACCGAAATTTGAACATCATGTTATTAGTAGCCCACTGGATGACTTGGTTTATATCAGCTTGTAGGGTAGTTGTGTCTGCTATGGATGCCACTTTTACAATTTTTAGGTAGGGTATTGTTTGTATCTTTTACTCTTTATTGATAGACGACTCGTCTCGACAAATATGGCTATGGCCATTCCTGCGAAACCACTCAAGTTCTTAAATTTTGCACTTGTCATCGTCATCACTAACAACCCTCCTTTCATGACGTGACCTTCACTGCTGGATAATATTGATGACCTATTGTATTGCAGCTGTAGCTTGGATTCCTTCTTCAATGGCCTATTGTATTATGTTCTGTTATTATATCCACGGGAAAACTCAAACCAGTAGGGCAGCTCCAATTTCTTATGTCAAGAGCCCTTCACCAGAATCAAGGCATCTCATTGAATGAGTAACAACTACGGAGGATGGTAAACATTAGTTTTTAGTCCGTCATCTTTATCGCTTTTGTTGCGACTGTTTTCTG